TTCCTGAGCCTCTTCTGCGCATACTAAACCATGCATTCGGCAACGACAAAGCGAGCTCCCCAAGGACCACAGGTCGCTCGCCGCCATGTACATATGGACGCGCGCCTGCGAAGCACCAGCCAACCGCAGTCTTGCGCCCTGGAGAGCCCTCTGCACCCCACCAACCAGCTTCGGCGCGGCACTGCGCGTCACGATAAGGGGACGCCAACACGACCCTGGCGCTTCAGGTCGAGCACGCACGCCACCTCCAAGTTCTCCTGGCTGGGACGCGGTCGATCGGCAAAAAGTGCTTCGACTACCTCGCCACGGACACATGTGCCAACCTGGCGTTGCACGCTGGACGTCCGCCCGACATCGTTCACGCCAAGCGGCGCTTCGACGATAATCACCAGGGATACATTCGCATGGGGAGGGGCTTACACCAGACCCCTCGAGCGAACCGACAGGCACCTTCAAGGCAGTTCTTTCTCCCTTGGCGACATCGAACTCCCCGCGCGCGCATGGACCAAGCGACGGCGCCGCCAGGTGCCTCGCTCGCCAAGCACAGCGTTTGTCGACGGCAGCAACTCCGCGGCCCCGACTGCCAGAAAGCCCCAGACGCCACTACAAACGTCACTCGACGAGACTGTCCTTCTCGACCAGAGTTGTCTGGCCCGAAAACCCACATTCGCAGAGTGGTCGGCTGGGCCGCGGGAGAAGACCTCCACCGCCAAGAGCTGGCCTCTGGCTTCACGGGCACCCGCCACAAGACCACCACCAGGCGAAGCTGGTAGGGAGCTGCATCAGCGTAGCACCCGTAGCGGACGACGCCCACTTGAACCAAGAGGCCACCGCTGACGCCGGGGCACGACGGGCTGTCGCCAGATCCCCTCGCATCGGGCAGCACCGCGAAGGCACCCAAGCGGGAGCTCGCGATGCAAGGCCCCTCGTTGCCAGCACGCGCGCAACTGGCGCCGACGCCCAAGGGCCCAGCCAAAGCTGCAAGCCGCCACGACAACACGGCACTTGCCGCCATCAGGCCCAAGGGAAAATCCTGGGTCTCACAATGAGCCCTCCACGCTCTCGCCGATCCTGGGTACGCTATCGAACTTGGCGCCATCGCGCAAAAAAGACGCCTTGTTTGGGCTCAGGAGACAACTGCGGTGGGACAACAGTCCCAACGCCAAAGCCGCAGAGCCGCGCGAGCATGCGCAATCATTCCAAGCAAGAGGCCCACTGGATAGAGTTTGGCAAACCATTGCACAACTCAAATGGCGCCAGCCAACTCACGGCACGATGCACGGCGACTGGAGGACCCTCCTGTCACGAATCCGCCCGCCAGCCTGGTTGTTCACGCACGCGATCTGCGCGTCGCAGGGAAGGGCCTTCCTGCGACGCATCCCCACCACGAGACACGACGTTGGCGCTGTTGCCGCGGTCAAGCAGGATCTAGGCTACGCTGCCACCACGTGGCTTCTCCACACGAAAGGCAAAGCCAGTTGCTCCGCTTGGCAGCGCGGTCTCCTCTGCAACGGGCCGGGGGATGCACACCCAGCAAACAGAAGTCGAGGCGCGCACCTCTGCCGACCCATCTCCACTGCGCAGATGGCGCAACCAAGGAGGTTGTGTATACATATATGTATATATATATATATATACATAACAACCCGGAAAATATAATAATACTCATAAATACATAAATATTAAGATAAATACCTAAGGATCATAATAGTAGTAATAATACTAATAACAGGAATAGTAACACAAAACTGATAATAATGATAATAACGAAAATACAATCAAAAACAAATACGAGAAACCATAGTAATGGTCGTAAACATAACAATAAGAATAGTAATAGCAATAATAATTTTAGTATTAGAAGTAGTAGTAATAGTAGTAGTAGTAGTAGTAGTACTAGTAGTAGTAGTAGTAGTAGTAGTAGTAGTAGTAGTAGTAGTAGTAGGTGGTCGTAGTAGTAGTAGTAGTAGTAGTAGTAGTAGTAGTAGTAGTAGTAGTAGTAGTAGTAGTAGTAGTAGTAGTAGCAGTAGCAGTAGTAGCAGTAGCAGTAGCAGTAGCAGTAGCAGTAGCAGTAGTAGTAGTAGTAGTAGTAGTAGTAGTAGTAGTAGTAGTAGTAGTAGTAGTAGTAGTAGTAGTAGTAGTAGTAGTAGTAGTAGTAGTAGTAGTAGTAGTAGTAGTAGTAGTAGTAGTAGTAGTAGTAGTAGTAGTAGTAGTAGTAGTAGTAGTAGTAGTAGTAGTAGTAGTAGTAGTAGTAGTAGTAGTAGTAGTAGTAGTAGTAGTAGTAGTAGTAGTAGTAGTAGTAGTAGTAGTAGTAGTAGTAGTAGTAGTAGTAGTAGTAGTAGTAGTAGTAGTAGTAGTAGTAGTAGTAGTAGTAGTAGTGGTAGTAGTAGTAGTAGTAGTAGTAGGACTCATAATAATAGCAATATTAATCATAGTAATGATGATAATACTGATAATAACAATACTAATAATAATGAAAATAATAATACGAATGATAATCATACCATGATAATAATAAGAATAACAATAATAATAATAATAATAATAATAATAATAATAATAGTGACTGTACTAATAATCGTAACAACATAAGAATAACAATAATAATAACAACAACAACAAAAATAATAAAAGATAACACCGTCCGGATAAGCCCGTGCCGGGGATCCGACAGGACTGCTCCGAAAAGCATAACTCTTCGAGCAGCAATATGGCGAAACCTGCCGCCGCACACCAGACGCTGCGGCATTCTGGCGGCAGACCCTCAGCTCTTTGATCCTCCTCCTCCTCCTCCTCCTCCTCCTCCTCCTCTCCTCCTGCTCCTCCTCCTCCTCCTCCTCCTCCTCCTCCTCCTCCTCCTCCTCCTCCTCCTCCTCCTCCTCCTCCTCCTCAAACCACCCTCGCCGATGACGAACCCCTGCAGCCAATGCCGCGACCGTCACCAGAGGGCCCCCACGGCGACACCCACGAGGACAACACCGACGACGCCGGGGCCCAGCGGGCGCACGCCTGCGGCCGATGGGGCCCGCTCGCACCAGGCCCGCTCGCTCCTCGCAGGGGCTGGCTGCGGAGTATACTGTGGCCCAGACCACCGGCTCCACTACTCTGCTCGGGTGCACGTGAAGGGGCCCAAGGACACACAAATGAATACACACAAATAAAATGTTCCCCACATGTTCTTATATTTTCTTGGTTTTTCTCTTCCCCCCCACTTCCCATATTTTCCTGGATTTTCTGGGGAATCGATGATTAATTGTGTCTGTGTGTTTCTTTCCCTCCTGAGCACGGTCCGGCGCAGTCCACCCAGAAAACCGACCGAGACTGAGGCCATGCTTCCTCTCGTCGCCACGGTTGGACGGCCCGCTCACATCTTCCCTGACAAGCAAGCTGTCGTCGACGGTTCCAAAGACCACCCCAGCGGCAAACCACTGCAACGCGTGGGTGCCCAGACCGACCTTTGTCAGACAGATCCACCGTGCCCTCCAGGCCGAGCCAGACATGTTCAGAGTCCAGAAGGTAGAAATCCACCTGGGTTACCAAGGCATCAACGAGGGGCGCATCACGCCCGCTGCGGGGGGTTCATCCGTCACGCTGTTGAACTCGCCACTTCTGGCGCACGCTTGCACAGCGCACCATCAAGCCTTATCGACGCTGCTAAACGGCGACACAAGTTCGCGGCCGTCCTTGACAGCACGGCTGTCGCAAAGTATGACCAGCGTCACCAAACGATCCGCTTGCCAGACAGAAGAGCGGGCTACTCAAGGGCTGAACTCAGCGAGATGGAACCCCGACCGCTCACCTCAGGCCACAGCGGACATCAGCCACCAGGCCCACAAGGTGGACCAGCAGGTCCACCAGGGCCAGACTACTTTGAACACCTGGATGGTCCATGGGCTGGCCTGCTTGAGGACGTCGACTGCGAGGATCCAGACACGCGCTGGCTTGGCACCTCCCTGAGTGAAGACGAAGACGAAGGTAACGAGACCCGCCCTCCCTGATTCACAGCAGGGACGCTGCGTCCCGCTGAGAATCACCACGACGTTGGCCACCCCAGCTCCCTCCGACGGCCGTGAGCAAGCCGTCCTCGGTCGGCATGAGCAGGCCGCGACCAACAGCGCCCCCTCGCCGCCAGGCCAGCCGCCCCTCACCACCAGGGCACGGGGAACAGCGAACAGCCTGCGACCGCCGTCGGTACAGGGCTCGGGGCGATGGGGCCCCAGCGATCGGACCGTAGGCAGTCTCCCACGCAGCACTTCTCAGCGGCCAGCTGGCAGCCAGAGAGCGACCCTGAAACGGTCCCCATCGCTAGCCACCGGGCGCTGCACCAACGGGCCAATCGCCTCGCCCAATCTCTCCAGCACATCCAGGAACAGTCAGCTCATCTGCTAGACAGGTTCCACCGAGCGCAAGCTGCCTGGGACAGCCTCCAGCAAGCCTTCCGCCCTGCCGTTTCCCTCGGGGCGCCCCTCCGGGACAGCCGCCGGGCCCCCCGTGCTGCTCAACGCGCGGCCTACCGGTGCTAGCGCCACTCCTCTCCCAGTGGACTCCGCGAACTGTTGGCTCCTGTTCCGTGACCCTCTTTCCGAGCCGCCGCGAGGGGCGGCGTCTCTCTGTCCGCGGGCGTGCACAAGGGGCGAGTCCCGCCCTTCTCACCACCTCCAGTTTGTGTTTTCCCATCGGGGTCCCGACAAACCGCGCCAGGGGGGGGAGGGCAGTCTCCCCACCCCTTCTCGCACAAGCGGCACCTCACACGAGGTGGGCGCGGCGGGCGCCAGTACCCCGCGCACCCGGACGGACACCCTCCCGAACTGTTGCGCCCCTCCTCTCCCCTCTCCCCTTCCCCTCCCTTCCATCTACCATCCCCTCTCCCGCTCCCTCTCCCCTTCCTCCTCACCTCTTCCCTCCCCTCCGCTCCTGCCGTCGTGCCCTCTCGCCCCCTCCGCCACGCCCCCCCCCACCCCCACCGGCGTCTCCCCCTTCCGGGACCGCTGAGGCCGGCGCAGCCCCGGGGCGCGGGGCTGGACGCTGCTGCCAGGCCTGGTGCGGCCTGCCCTGCCTGTGATGCCTCGGCTGGCGGGGCCTGCCGCCTGCATAGCCGCCCAGCGCAGTGCCCGCCGGCGGCCTGCGGGAGGTGGGTGGGGGGGGTCTGTGGTGGCGCGGTGGGCCGCGGGCCCCCCCCGGGCGCTCGCTGCCCCCGAGAGCCGCTCGTCCCCCCCCCCCCCGCGATCGACTTGTCCGCACTGGTGGAGTGGCCGACCGTGCGACACGCGCCCTGGAGACGAGCAGTGAAGGCGGTTGCCCGATATGACTTTTCAGCGCCAGCGATCTTACTCCATGCGACCCGCGAGATGCGCCAGAGCATTCTGCACAACTGCCGAGGGCGGCGTCAATTCACCTCCCGCGGCATGCACCCCGTGTCGAGGCCTCCCTTCACAGCGCTGAGAAGATGTGGCCCTCAATCGACCTTTCCTCGCAACGACACGCCGTCGGCTCAACGCGTTGTAGATACCGATGCCTGCTTTCCCAACCATGCCCTTGAGCCTCTGGGGGGGTAAGAAAACAAGAAAAAAACGGAGGGGCGGGAGCTCCAGACAGCCCTCTAGAGACCCGGGGCAGAGGGCCTTCAAGCATACGAATTGCAAAGACAACCGAAAACCTGAGGTCATTTCATTACGTGCCAGAGAGACGCTGCCGGACTGTCTTTAAAGGCGTTGCGAAAAAATGCCTTGTCGAAGTCGGCTGATCTCTCTCCCCAATTAGGCTTGCCTAAAGGATTCTTCCTTGGTTGAAAGTTGCTGCCTCCTATTGTTACTTTGCCCGTTGCTCGGAGGTTCTTCGGGTTCCTCGGGTTCCGAAAGTTCCTAAAGTTCCTCGGGTTCCTCGGGTTCCTCGGTCAAGCAATGCCAAGCAATGCCAAGCAATGCCAAGCAATGCCAAGCAATGCCAAGCACTGCGCCCATGCAATAGAAAGCATTCCCATATTGGGGTCGCGCCGGGTTCATGGGAGAGCGGGAGGTGAAGAGTGACAATATTGGTAAGTGTGAGGGTGAGGACAGACTGTGACAGTAAAAGTCGGAGGGTGGGCGTTACGGTGACAGCGAGGGCGAAGGGAGACAAGTGGGGTCCCTGTGTGTTGTGGCTGCACGAGGCGTCCAGGGGGAAAACACACAAAAAATGCTTTGGTGTTGTCTCACCACAAACAAACCAACAGCAACAACCTTACACGTTACTATCGAAGATGACGTGGCAAACATCCGCGGCCAACTCTTAGGATAACCCCACTCTTCGGATGCGCTGATTTAAAAAAAACACTTTTGCAAACCGCTGCGGAACCTCGAGATGGCCCAGGACGTTTGTGAAGGCGGCAGAGAGGAGTCCTTGGACATTAACTCGATGCAACGGGAACTGTGCGCCAGCAGCTCTCAACTAGTCCATCGCGACAATTCCTTTCGCCCGCTTCCATTCCCATTATAGCCCAGAAGTACCCCCGAAGACATCCTATATGTTCCGTGCACTACTTACCCATTCTGCCGTTGGGTCGCGGTACCGCCGCAGGCTGCACTCCAATGGCATAATCCCGCTAGCCTTTTGTGGCGTGGTTTAAAGCGTTTCCGCTTCCAACCCCCTTATCCCCCTCAGGTCCTGATGAATATACACCCCCTCCCCTATCCGACCGGCGACAAACCCGAGACGATGCGGGCCGCCCCCCTGCTTTCCCTTCCAAAAAAACAATGCAAGATACACTTTGCACCAAAACCTGTGAATCATATCTGAGGGCCCACGAGCACTTTGTCTTGTGTTCTGGCAGGGACAACGGCCCTCCACATTAAAGCTCCCATTACGCTCTGGTTGCTGGCGTGGGCTTGCGCCTTCCTCAGGCCGCCGAGGCCGACATAATGGAAGAAGGGAGGAGGCGGCGAAGGAAAGAGGAGAATGAGGAGGATGGAGAAAACGAGGGAAGGGAGGAGGAGGAGGAGGAGGAGGAGGAGGAGGAGGACCTGTACGCTTAAAGGGCCACCCTCCTCTGTTTTCCAGCGGGGGGGCGGCGGGGGGGGCGGGTCCTCAGCAGCACTGGCGGCGCCGCTGGCGGCGGCGTGCCGGTGGAAGGCGGGCCCGCGTCGGCTGGCGCGGGGTGCTTTCCAACTATGGACCGCGATACAACCAGAGTGCTCGAGTGACGCCTCTCCTCTTCCGTCCTCACCATGCTGTTCCTCCTTCTCCTCGAGATCGGGGGATTGTGGAGTCCCTCGGGGTCGAGGGCGCGAGCGCGAGTACTGCCGCGTGCGTCTGTGAATGCGCTGCGTGCTCTGTGGCGTCCTCCTCTCCTTCCGCCTCCTCATCCTCCTGATCCTCCTCCTTCTACTCCTCCTCCTCCTCCTCCTCCGCCTCCGCCTCCTCCTCCTCGTCCTCCGTGCCAGGAGGGGGCCGGGGGGCACAACACTCCTACGTCACGCTACAGATATATCAATGTATATATGTCAATGTATGCGCGCATGCATGTATGCATGCATGCATGTTTGTACGTATGTATGGATTGTGTATGGATGGCTGGCTGTGTGTATGTATGTGCGTAGGTTTGTATGTATGTTTGTGTGTATGTACGTATGAGCGTATGTATAGATGTATGTGTGTACGTATGTATGAATGCATGCGTGTATGTATGTATGTATGTATGTATGTATGTATGTATGTGTGTATGTGTATGTGTATGTGTATGTGTATGTGTATGTGTATGTGTATGTGTATGTGTATGTGTATGTGTATGTGAATGTGTATGTGTATGTGTATGTGTACGTGTACGTGTATGTGTATGTGTATGTGTATGTGTATGTGTATGTGTATGTGTATGTGTATGTGTGTGTATGTGTATGCGTATGTATGTATGTATGTATGCATGCATGCATGCATGCATGCATGCATGTATGTATGTATGTATGTATGTATGCAGGTCGGAACTAGGACCAAACCTCTAGGAGTTTTCGGCAAAGAACTCGAGCAAGCCTCTCCAATTTTCTCGTGATGGGCGGACGCCCTGGCGGATTGCAACATGGCGAATATTATACTCGTGAAAACACACGAGAAACGCAGGTGAACTTCAACATTCAATCGATCACCGTTCAGTGCTCACTTTAGTTTCCATGCCAACATGCCGACTTCTATATTGTGAAAACGTGGACAAACACATGTTCGTTTCATTGTCAAAACGCCCACTGTCAAGGGTTTACTTTCGCTTCCAGGTCGACATGTCCACTTTTCTTTCTGAACGATACAGACTTCATCGGACCCGAGAAAAGACCGACGACTTGACGGGACCAGACCGAAGACTTGACGGCCGCCCATCACGGCAAAAGAGAAGAGCATCAATCCTATGCCGAAAAAGTTATGGAATGGATGATGCCCGCTGTGGTTCTGGTCCCAGGTCCCTGTGGTCCCCAGTCCGGTCCGTTCTGGTCCGGACCAGACCTGGGACCAGACCGACAACTTGATTGACGGGACCCCCACTGGCCACTGGGACCACCAGTGACGACTGGCCAATGATGCAAATATGTATGTGAGTATGTATGTATGTATGTATGTATGTATGTATGTATATATGTACGCATGGTTATACGGTAGTTTGTTTGTACGTATGAATGCATGCATGTATGATGTGTGTATGTACGCACGCATGTATGTGTGTACATGTGTGTATGTAAATATATGTATGTACGTATGTATGTGTGTATGTATGTGGGTGTCTGTATGTATGAATTATACGTACGTACACTTGTACGTGTACGAACGTAAGCACATAGGTATGTATGTATGCACGTTTGCTTATTTGCATGTATGTACGTATGTATGTGGAGGTAGCAATGGTAGCAGTAGTGGAAATAGTCACAAGAATCGTAGTAGTAGTAGTAGTAGTAGTAGTAGTAGTAGTAATAGTAGTAGTAGTAGTAGTAGTAGTAGTAGAAGTAGTAGTAGTAGTAGTAGTAGTAGTAGTAATGATGATCATAATGATAGTAGTAGTAGTAGTAGTAGTAGTAGTAGTAATAGTAGTAGTAGTAATATATAGTAATAGTAGTCGTAAACAGTCGTAGTAGTAAAAAAATGTTGGGAGAAGTAGCAGTGGCAGTAGTACTTGTACTAGTACTAGTATTAGTACTGACACGGGTACTTGCATTAGTGCGAGTACTTGTACTAGTACTAGTACGGGTAATAGTAACAGGAATAATAATAGTACTAGTAGCAGGAGTAGAAGTAGTAGTAGTAGTAGTAGGTGTTGGTGATAGTGGTTAGTAGTAGAAATAATAAAGGTAGCAGTAGTGGTAGTAGTAGTACTACTACTCGCAGTAGTGGTAGTAGTGGTGGTAATGGTAATAGGAATGAGCATCGTGATTATGCGTGATGGCGATATAATAGAATGATGGCGGTGAAATGTTCGAAGATGCACCAAGGCATGTGCACATGCAGATCCATAAGTCTATCCCATGCGTCGCCCCTTCTCCCTGCCCTGGGACTGGTTGGCAAAACTTGACTATTAAAATGATCAGTGCTTAAACTGTGGTTGCAGTTAGAGGTTGCCACTCGTGCTACCCAAGGTGATGGATGGATGTGCCTAGTGTTTGCCACGTTGCCGCCTGTTTCCGCTCATGGTCGCCTCGAAGGCGCTTGCGAAGTGTCGCCACGTTGTCGCCCGTGGCCACTCGCGCGCGCATCGTGGGCGCATGCCATCGATGCACAGAGCGTACACAACACATGCACCATGTAGCTTGCACCACGTAGCGTGCAACACATAGTTAACACCACGTGGCTTGCTTGCACCACATCTGTATAAGCTATAGAGTCCAACGCAAGGCTTGCACAACGTAGCTTACACGACCTTGCTTACACAGCAAAGCTTGCACCACATTGTTTACCCGACATAGCTCACACCACATGGCTTCCACCACATAGATTGCATCACATATGTTGCACCACATGGCTTCCGACAGATCAAGTGCATCACATAGCTAAAACCACCTAGCTCACACGGCATAGCTTACACCACATAGCGCAGACCACATAGCTTACACAGCAAAGCTAACCCAACAGAACTTACGCCACATAGCTTTCACCAAGAGAACATGTTCATCCATAGTGCAACGACTTGCTACTTGTCGTGAAATGAAGAAGCTGGTTCGTGACAGAGTCCACGGGTCGGGGTTGGTAAGTAAAGTGAAGACAAGGAACAGAGGCAGGAATTGCTTAAAAACCTAACCCCCCGCACACCCCGCCCTGCCCTTCCTCACCCTCCTGGGGGGGGAACAAAAAAAAACGCCGTGATAACACCATGCGCTGTACGAACATGGACGGAGAGGAAACAAGCAAACGACGCCCGGCAAGGAGCATGACTGGCTGCTGTTAGTCTATGTCGACGAGCGCGTTCCACTACTCGCAAAGTCGCAATTGGCCTGGATCCCCCGCTGGGGATCTACGATAAACTACTTCAAAGCAGACGGGTGTTTTTCGGACGTTTGCGAGTAGACACTTTGCGAGTAGGCACTTTGCGAGTAGACATCTGAAACTGCCAATGGATGGAAATGGGGAGGGGGAGGAGCTGAACGGTATGAATGCCAGCCAGGTAGCACCAAGCTCCCATGACAACTCTGCTGCTCGTCCTGAGTTGGATGCCAGAGACTGGCGGGGCCGGCGTCGCCCCTGTACTTCGACCTCACACGCAGTGGACTGGCCTTTACAAACGCACCCTCCGAATGTGCCAAGGGGGGCGACACAGAACACTGGCCAAGCGTCGTTAGAAGTAGAGAGCACCGCGACCAGTGGAGGATCAAAATAGCCGACTTGAGAGAACTTCTCCCGCGGGGTCCGGCGTCAGAGGCTGCAGCCCAGCTTCCGCTTGCGAAACCATCCTTCTGCTCCATCTCCCCCATCCTCATCCACCCCCTTCATCCTCTTCTGTCCCTTTCCTCCTCCTGGGCCTTCGCCCCCTCCTCCGCGAGCGTGCCTGCCGAGGCGCCGCCGGCGCCGACGTAGCGCCCAGGCCAGTAGCTAGGGCAGCAGCAGCCCCAAGCTTGCCGGCCACCGCCGGGCTGTCGGAGCCTCCGGCGTGCATGAGCAGGCGAATGGTAGCGGACCACAGGTGTCGCTCCCGTCCAGGCCCAACGCGAGGCGAGCGAGGGGCGCGCCATCGAAGTCCGCTCGGAGCCGGAGCGCTCGGCTGACTGCCCAGCCAGCCAGTGGGCAGCGCAACAAGTGAAAGCTCGTCGCCCTCAATGTCCCGCTCGAGCGGCAGGCATCGACACCGGCAGGCGCAGAGCCAGTCGGCTCCACGGCCAGGCATCCGGCGCCCAGCGGGCCAGGCCATCAGCCAAGTCTTCACGAGAACTTGCCTCCGGGCCAGGGGCAGACGAAAAGCGCGCGGCGTCGCACCACGCCCCAGTTCACGTCAGGGAGCGCCCCAGCCAGCTCGGGCATCCACCTGGCCAGGCGCCCGCTCACGAAGCCGGCGAGGTCGCGCGGGTAGATCGCCCTCGCGGGCGCGGCCGCGAGACGGGCCTGGAGCTGGGCTGCCAGCGCGCTCCGTTCGTCTGCACCTCCCAGCATCCCCGTCGCGTCGCCTCGCATCACGGAGCGCCGCAGGGCCGCGCCCCGGAGGCCGCGAAACTGTGGGAGCCGCGCGCCACCTCCTCCACGAGGCACGCGAGCGGAGTGCTCTTGCAGGAGCGCGGGGAGCAGCCGCCATTCGCCACTGCAGGGAGCGGCAGGGACAGCGACGCCCGTTCGAGCTACTCTCGCGCAGGCCGCCAATCCACGACCACTGCAACCAAAGAAGACTCAAGACGAGCACGGGGTCAATCCGCGTTGTCGACGCCGTGCTCTCAACCCAGCGGATCGGGCATCCGCTCTCTTAGCTCTGTCATCTGGCGCGCCAAGCGCACCCACCAGCGCGCGCCCGAGCGCGACCCAAAAGGCCGGGGGCGGGCCGAGGCACCAGCAGGCCTGCCATCAACCGGCACCTGGTCGCCCACTCCACCGCGTCGCAAGGGCGGGTTCTCCTCACAGTTGAGGTCCCCGGCCAGCAGCACCGTGCCCGCCATCGGCGCAGCAGCAGCCCAGCGGAGGTCAGCCCCCACTCGTTCCACGAGCGCGCGGCAGTCGGCCCGCGAGAAGCAGTGATTCCAGAGCCGGAGGCCTCCAGCACGTTCCCCGCCCGGCGGAGGCACCGCCCGCGGGCCCACAGCACCAGAGACTGCAAAACTCGCCGCGCTCCAGCGCAGCTCATATCGAATCACACGCCCTCGGAACACCTCCGCGCGCGCAACATGCACACGACGCTGACCCACCCAGGTCTCTGACATGGAACCGTCGGCTCGGGCGACTGCCTGGCAACCCCCCAGCGTTCATGTGGGCGTCGAGGGACGAGTACAGGCTCCCTGGGAAGAAGAGGCGCTGGGCCATCTCCTTCACTGCCGCTCTCGTCCCGTTGGTCTCCTGCACCGTCACCACTTTAACAGCTGCGCTCACTGGCATATGACCGCGCTGGCCAGGCGGTCCGCGAAGCAGCGCTTGCCGACGTGCTCCTGCAGCACCCGCCGTGCTCGGCGCAGCTTGTACTCCAAGGCCTTGTCCTTCGGGTTCTTGTCCACGTCTCGGGCGACCTCCACGGTGTCTCCCACAAGCTCCCGGCAGGAGACCTTCCGCCAGCCGCCGTCCCTCGCGCGGAGGGCCGCCCGCGTCTGCTTGAGCCTTTTCCTGGCAGGCTCCGTGGCCCCCTGGAATCGCAGGACGAAGGAGCGTTCCACAGCGTCGCCCTCCCGCGCTGCCTCCTCTGGGCCGACGTTGGCGTCGGCGAGCCAGCCGCCCAGCCGCGCGTCGCCTCCTCCAGCGCGCGCACGCGCCACGGCCGCTTTGGTGACCAGGCGGACGATGCGGGACGCACAGGGACATGCTAATACTATATGTCCTCCTTGGAGGCGCGCGTCCGACCCAAACATATAGTAGACCCATCCTGTAGTATATCGTTTCCCGAGCGGTGTGGCCAGAGAGCGCCCGCCACGACGCATATGCCATGAGATTCCTCGGTGCGCGCGTCGCCCCTAGGGGGGCGACGCACATATAGTGTAAGTGTGTTGGGGTGACGCCGAGGATGGTCTCATCCCTCGGGCGGTCCCACGCCGCGCAAAGGGGGGGGCCGCAGCGGCCGCCCCGTGCGCAGGAGCCCCCAGCTCGTGCTCGAGGCGCTCCAGCCTCTGCCTCGGCTCAGCCTGTGACGTGTTGAGCTGCTCCTGGATGCCACCCACGCGAATGTCGAGCCCGTGGAGGGTCCTCGCCGTCGGCTCGGCGAACGACTCCATACCCGTTTGCACCACGCTCGCGCAGAGCGTGCTGAGCCCCAGCAAGAGCTGCGTCTGCCTCGCCTCGAGCGCCTCCTGCATGCCCGACCACGGCCTGCTGCGCAACCACAGCCGCGCGCACTGCACTGCCGTTCGGCGCGAGGTCGCCTATCGCAGCGAGCTCGTCCATGTGCGCGCGGAGCTGGTCGGCAGGGGTCGGCCCGCTGGGGCGCGCTCCAGCAGCGGCCGCCGGGCCAGCGCTTCCGCTCGGCGGCAGGAGCGCGGTGGCGCCACCAGGGCTCTGCGACACCCCTGCCGCGGGCACGTCAGCTGCAGCAGGGCGTCCGCACGATCGGCCGGCCCAGAGGTCCGCCACAGCCAGGGGGTCCGGAGTACCATTCTTTGAGAAGGCGAAAACCCACCCCCACCCCCAGTCTCCATCCCATCCCCGAACCCGCGATTCAAGGAGTCGGGACTGGGCGTGGGGGCGGGTTTTCGGGCTCCAGGAATGGAGAAAACCAACACCCACCCCAAGTCCCGACCCCTCGAATCGCTCGGGGATGATCGGCGTCGGGACTGGGGGTGGGGGTGGGTTTGCGCCTTCTGATTCTTTTCCGCAGATGTGCCGCCATGACCACCGCGATCATCAGCAGAGCGGCTCCGCCTGTCGACACCGTCCTGGTCGCCAGCGGCGGCCGCCATGCGTCCCGCCCGGATCGGCGCGGGTACATCCTGAGGCATCGCGGGCGCCTGCCGCGCGCCACGCTTGTACAGAGAGCGGGTTTCAAAAGCGGGGCCTTAAAAAGACTGGCTGCTTCAGCCAAAATGGCCTCTTGGCTTCTTGAGACTCCGTCCCCTCCTCCTGCTCCTCCTCCTGCTCCTCCTCCTCCTCCTCCTCCTCCTCCTCCTCCTCCTCCTCCTCCTCCTCCTCCTCCTCCTCCTCCTCCTCCTCCTCCCCACCCCTCCCCTCCCCCCTCCCTCATCCCCGGGGTTCCTTCCGCCAGCCTTCGCGAACCTTCCGCCAGCCTCGACCGAGAGGGGGGGGGCCTAGATCAACCAGTAGCTCTCTCGGAGCGCATGCGACACCGCACTACACACAGCACCATCTCAGACGCTCGCAGCGGCCTTTCCCGCTTTCAGCACAGCAGGCCTCCTCAAGACACTGGACTAAATCCTACAGCAGACGCTGTCTGGAATCTCCCCCACCGCGCTTGCGCGTGGGGCCGTCTTAAAATCAGTGTTGGTTGTCCGGTAGCGTTTCTGTAGCCTTCCAAAGCCGAACCCCGAGACGCCCGAAGAGGCCACCAGCGAAGCCCTGAGAGACGAAAGAGAAAAGAATATGCGTTGCTTCCGAGACCGTTCGGCTCAAGGTATCCTCGGAAGAACGCCCCCGAAAACCTCAAAAGAGCCCCAAGACGAGCCCAGGATGACCCCATCGCCCCAGAAGACGGCCCAAAACCGCCCCAAGACGGCCCAGAGATGGTCCCAAGACTCGCCCATGCGTCCCCGAGATGGCTCAAGTAAGCCTCTTCGGAGAGCTCGAACCATCGTGCCCAAGACAGCCCCAAATTCTTGACTGGCCTCCAATGGGCCTCCTGGAGGCCCCCCAGATGGCCCCAGGAGGTCCCCAAGAGGTCACAGGACCCGAAGAAGTTCTCATGAGGCCTCAGAGAGAAGCACCAGGCTCTGGACAAGGAGGCGGTGCTTGAGACCCGCGCTAGCTCAGACGGGGCGCTGAACTGGAACGGATCTTAAACTCGACCTCATTCCTGCTGACCTGCTACGCTGGCGCGGCGGCTGGGTTTGCCGCCAGATTCCGAATAGCACACTATTACTTAGATTGAGGGAGTTGCTGCCGGCCTCACAACTGAATGCGTGGAACGACGGCGAAAAGAGCAAACGCAGGCCGCAAGCCGCAAGGGGTGGGCCTGGCGGGGGATTCGCGTAGGCATCCCACTGGGACGTATCATCCGAAGGCCTGACCCGTCAACGCCAGCCCTTCTAGCAGAGAGCTGCTGCAAATCTCCCTCGGTTCGACTCACCCCCTTCCCTTTCGTGCCATGGCTTCACATCAGCATCCGATGTGCATCAACAATGATGCCATACAAAGGCACCCTGGATAACGAAAAGCGACGATCTCTCCTTCACCATATAACACAACGAACCCTGAATGTAGATACATGGTGGTTGCCAATTAGATGTGCTAATTCGTTACGTGAACACGCTATGCGTGCCGTGCGTCCTGAGTCTCAGGCGCATTGCATCTCGGCTCAAACCATCACTGGGCCTCTCGCGGTTCGTCCTCCCGCACGGTCAGTACACACCACTGGCAAGCCGCCTTGCCAAGTGGAGGGAGGAGGAGAAGGTGAGATTGGCGTCAACGCCTGGAAAGCATGTAGCCATCCCCTCTGGCCTGAGCCAGCGATTCAGCGGGGCTGCCCCACCACCAGAGCGAGAATTTGGACGTCTACACAAGCTCCCTCTAGCTTACTGTGAGCTCCATCCCGCAGGAAACAGAGCGAGGTCCTTCAGGAAACCATTGAATGTGTCAGCGGGCATCCTGGGCTCCGCGAGGGGGTTGGACACGTCCTACCGCGGAGAACAATCTCCTCAACCGCCTCCGTGCCAGTTGCCGATGGCGCGCTGGATCGAGGCGCGCGGCCATCGCGCGATGTCCGCGGCACTGCGCATGCCGATGCTGGCTGGTACGCCGCCAGGCTTGCGCTCCCTCCCTGCACGTGGCACTCCAAGGCCGGGGGCTCAGGGGCAGGACGCAGCGGGTCTGGAAGGGCCTGCCCGGTGCCTTTCGATGGGTACCCACTGCAGCTGCGTGAAGGCGAGGATCGTGCACTGCCAGACCAGCGGGACGCAGGACCCTGCCCTGAGCCATCGTGGCTTGGACCCAAAAGCTCAGTCATGACCTCGAGGCCAGGAAAGCCGTTTCCGCCGCTCGCTGCCCCACAGCGAGCTGCATGCCTCGGCGCAGACGCAACCGCTGCTACCAGAGCTGCTGCTCACAGGCTACGTCGCTGCTGCTGCTGCCAGAGCTGCTGCCTCGTTGAAGGCAGTACTGCTGCTCACAGGTCGGCGGCGCTGCTGCGTGCAAGGCAGGTCGTCGAGGCTTTTAGAATCGCTCGCCGAAGCATCCTTGGAATCGGCCCAGACGGTGCATGGATACCCCGAGCGACGTGTTCGATGTCCGCTCGGCCAATGTCCACACAACCGTCTGCGGCCCTGAGACTAAGCACCATTAGCAGCAGCGCTTCTCGCAGTCGATGTCGTGCACAAATTCGTGAGCTACTATTTCGAAAAATGCTCGGGCTCCAGGTACAGACTTCCTCCGACGGCTCACTTTTCAGCCCGGCACCTTTCTTTTAACCGTGGATGCGCGTCATAAGAGGGAAGGCAGACTCAAACACGAATGGGCGAAAACGTATGTACAATCTGTTTGTGGATCATACTGGCCAGAAACACGCTTGGCCTCGGAGCCTTCAGGATCGCGTCGACTGGTGAACACATTGCAAACCACGGTGATGGAGACGATTACCTGTAGCATTCTGCAGCATTGTTTACATACGGTGCATGTCATTCCCGGTGCCTTGGCGCCAGATTCCTGTGTCTGTTTTCGTCCACGCGCTTCGGTTTAGGGCTTTGCGTAGCGTAGCGTAGCGTAGCGTAGCGTAGCGTAGCGTAGCGTCTTCCACCTGAGTCAGCGCCTCCTCCTCATCAGAATCATCATCATCGTCATCATCATCATCATCATCATCATCATCATCATCATCATCAGCATCATCATCATCATCAGCATCAGCATCATCATCATCATCATCATCAGAATCAGAATCATCATCATCATCATCATCATCATCATCATCATCATCATCATCATCATCATCGTCATCATCATGCATCATTATCATCGTCTTCTTCAGCATCAGTATCATCATCAGCATCAGCATCAGCATCATCATCAGCATATCATCATCGTGTTCCTCTGACTCCGTCAGAGCAACTATATCCTCCTCGATCTCGTGGGTGACGTTGAACTCGAAATCGAAAACGGCATCCCATGCCCGTCATTGCACGATGCAAAACCCGGTGTTGCGTGAGCTCACCCTTGTCACTGCACGTCATGAGCACCTTCACCATGTGTGCCTTCAACTGGGCCTGCTCGACCTTTCGGGCTGTTCTCTTCGCCAGTCCACCCACAGCGAGTTGCGTATGCACAGGCGCAGCACCAGTGCGGAGCCCATGCCTTCTGGACACCGTGGCTCTCGAGGGCGCACGGTACCAGACACCGTTGCCTTGGCGGGTTGCTCGGCATGCCCTGAAGCGGTGCCTTGACAACCTGGGTGGCCATCTCCGTCAGCGTCTGCTCGCCCTCGTTCTGGCGATCAGCGTCCAGGCACAAGAGGGCGGGGACATGGAGGTGGATCCCGATCGAGATGTATTACGCCGTCGACCCAGTGAGGTGACGGACGACGCGGGTGACTTGGTGAACGACAGGGCAGACGCGAAGCACTCTGAGGCGTAGAAGAATGAATATGAGGTGGATGAGATCAGAAAAAGATGCCTGCGTAGGACATCGCGGAGAACAGTGGAGAGAAGGCGACCGCTGGAGGGATAGCGCCCCGGGCTCGCTGACAAGCTGGTGGGAGCAGGCGGCGAAGCATCACTCACAGCACGGCGCAGTACTCTCTGCACGGCAGGCTCGGCACGGAGTCGCTCATGGCACAACACGCATCGCACGCGCGGAGCGGCATGATGAGGGCCAGCGTCATGTACACTAAACCCCTCCCACGGCAAGTCCCCTGACTCACACGCGCAGGAGCCAAAAACGCTCGCCGGCCCACATATCCACCCCTATCATATCGCGATGATGGTATGCGCAACAGAGGGACAAAGAGAGAGATTGGGGACGGGAGGCCAAGGACCCCTGCCCCTCCAACTAGCAGAAGACCAAGCAGCATGATCCGCTGCGCCTCCTGGCAAGTTCTTACAAGCCCGATGCGAATCACGTAATGCTTGACGCCTCTACCGTGAAACTAGGGCCCCCGTTGACAACGCAGCACAATTCTGTACCCCTCGAACACCTGGTCCGAATGTGCATGATCACCCCCCCTTTCTGGACAGGTCCAGCCGCTGCGAAACGAAAGCGACAGGCCGCACGGTGCAGAGAAAACGCACTGACAATCAAGAGCAACTGGCAAAAAAATAATGCATCTGCGCATTTTCCTCTACACCGACTCCTTATCAATCGTAGGCAGAGGAGGGGAAGACCACGCACAGCCAACAGCATCCCCTGAAAAGCACCTCTCGGCATGAATGGGCGGTATCGGAAACGCCGAGGACGCCGGCATAACTTGTTCGGGGAGGATGGGAGACACCGTTGTTGCTGCCCCGTGGATGCTTTCGGGTAGAATGCAATGCGTCCCATACCCCCGTCGGATGCCAAGAACGGTAAAATAGACACGCCGTTACTGTCGCCATTCTGAGAGCCGCGTGGAGACCTCGAAACGTCTAGGGCACGCGGCCACCAGAGGCAAGCAGCGATTTGACTCGCCTTGGCCGTCCAGATGTCACCATATCATCGGCTCGGCTGCCAGAAGCACTAATATGTATACACCAACTGCGACGGGGCGAACCCGATGCCACGCACCGTGTGATGTTTTAGAACAGCCTCTCGGCCCTTACTATCGCAAGCGCTACTATGATGTACTATGCAGCGTATAAGAAGGAGGAGGAGGAGAAGGAGGAGGAGGAGGAGAGCAAGAGGAGGACGAGGAGAAGCAGGAGTGAGAAGACGTCAGGGGAAAAAACGAAGCGTTCCAAGCCTAGCGGAGGCGTTTTCACTCGACGGTCAAGTGTGGATCTGAGGGTTCGTTATCTCCTCCTCTTCCTCTGCATCCCCCGACTTGCTACTGTTCCCGCCCAAGCAGCAATGCATGTTGGACGATAAACTTACTGCCTGGCAGCCTGAGGCATGGGCCCAGCTTTCCCCCCGAGTTCTACATCGGCACGGCCTTCGGGCCGATCGAGAGTAGCGTAGCGTAGCGTCACAGAGCCGAACCTCTGCAGCAAGCAATTCGGATTAGCTTGCCTTGCCTCAGGTTGCCTATTTCTCTGTCGACGCTGGGCCTTTCCTATACTAACCAAGCTACATTGCTCAATGATGGAACCATACCAGGGCGGACCATGATTACCGTCTCTCGATCTCGCTCGCTCCCTCCCTCCCTTCCTTCCTTTTCTACCGCATGTAAGAGGGCCGCACCATGCTCGCGAAAGCAATCATGACAAGAAGGCCATCTACAGTGGTATCCCCATTTGTATTGCTGCTTCGCTGGCGAATGCAAAGCAACAACGAGATATAAGAGCCACTTTCTCGGAAACCTATTGAAGCATACCGCCGCCAACTCTAGAGCACAGACGCACCAATAAAAAATGACACAAACTGGCAACACACTTCCCTCATCATACGAAGCACTGCCTCCCAGTTGCCATTCAGGCCATCATGCGACTTGATCGTGGGAATTGTAACCAGCCCGCAGTGACGCAACAACTCCCAGACTATAAAAGTGGATTCGATGTTTCGAGTATCTCAATTCCTGCAGTTCGCCCCCTGTCAAGATAGTTCTGCTCCGTCCCTGCTGATCCCTGCTGGCCCCCCCTCTTCCAAGAACGGGCTGCGCTACAGTGAGTGGATGCACTCCTTCCACTTGCGCGGACCGCGTCCAATCTGTTCGCGCGAGATGCTGCGCCCTTGGTCTGGGCTGCGCCTGCGTGAGAGCAAGAAGGGTTGGCGTATGCACGAGACCATACGAAACCCTCACTGATGTTTTGCGTCAACGGGCCGCTGCATCTCTCGACTCGCATAATTATTATTATACGATGCTGACTGTACTCGAGAGGAAACTCTTGCACGCCTGTTACTCATTAGCGATTAGCGGCCAGATGGTGTCCAATCGAGCGGTCCAGACGCAGGCAACCACCGCTGACAAAATTCTATGTCACTGAGACTCCCTCAGCACCGCCAGTCGTGAAGGAAAAGCGGACACCCTCGCACACACTCTTTTGCAGTCGCGGCCGTGCGCGCGGCGACACGGCGGCGTTAAGCAGAGCGTGCGGGACCCAAAATCTCGCCGACGCGCCATCACGCAGCAGCCCTGGCAAGGTGCGCAGGGCTCACTCATGGGGCCAGAAGGAGCCTCGCCACGCGGGGATTCACAAAGGGGGGAGCCGTGAGGAGGACGAAGTGTGACCCACAAGAGGCAGTGCTGGGGTTGCAGAAAGCAGGAGGCCGAGGCCTCGCGAGGACGGCCGACCAGCATGGAAACGGCATGACCGCGAAGGCAAGGGAAGACACAGCGGGTGGAAGCTACAGCAATGCCATAGCCAGAAGACTGGCAGACGGGCACGTCAAGGACAAGGGGCCCGGAGGCCAGCAATGGTAGCACGGACACCGCAAAGGCCGCACCCAAAAAGGTAGTAGCGCCGGCATGCCCCCCGGAGCGCCAGAAACGGCAGCGAAGGGGGAACAGGCCAGAGAGAGCGCCTGCTGGGGGCCCCGCGGAGGTGCCCGGCAGGCGCACCTGCCAGGAGTGACTGACAAAGGAGAGGAAGAGGCAGGCAGCGCGAAGACGGAACTGGCGCAGGAGGGCAGTGCGAGCGCACCGGGGTGCCTGCCGATGGGAGGTGGCCGAGGTCAGAGGAAACAGCCCGGAGCTGATAGGGGGCCACATGCGAAGCCTACCCCCAACCCCCACGACTTCTGAGGGGGAGGGCGGGGTTCACTTCGTGCGGGAGCTCCCGAGCGAAGCGAACCCCACCCTCCCCCTCAGAAATCGTGGGGGGGAGGGACAGGGTTCGCATGTGGCCCCCTAACTGAGGTAAGCGCGGGGCCCAGCGCCCCAAGCAGCGCGGCCAGCCCGTTCGCCACGTCCTCGCGGCACGAGCGGGGCCCCTGCGGTGGGCCCAGCCGCCGGGGGCTGGGGCCGCAGGTGCCCTCCAGAGGGGGCCGCCAGGGCCGTGGGCCAGGGGGAGAGGCGCCGGAGGAGAGGCAGGTCGCGGGCACCCGTGCGAGTGCAGCAAGTCAGACCACCAGGGTCGAGTGCGCCGACGTAGGACCCGTGAGGCGGGGCGCTTCCCGGGGACAGCGTCGCCGTCGCTGGGGGGCTCACGGGGGACAGGGGCAGCATCAGCGGGGCGCTCCTCCGCGAGGGCCGAGGCCGCGAGGAGAACCGTGAACTGTTCAAGCTCCGCGAGCGAGGAAAGAGAGGGCGGGGGCAGAGCGGTCGCAGGCATGCGCGGTCCAGACCTGGGGGGGGGAGAGCGTCCTCGGCCTCCAGCCCACGCCAGTCACGCGATCTGAAAAGCTGCTGCCCTGGCACTGCAGGGAGATCTGGCCTGCCGCGCGGCGAGGCACGCGCGCGTCGTCGTCGTCGTCGTCGGCAGGGGGGCCAGGGACGGGCCCAGGGAGGTCGGGGCCGAGCCGCGCAAGTGGGACGCCCGGGAGGTCACGGCCACCTGGTGGCGCTGGAGGCGCAGGTGCCAGGGGCTGCAACGGCAGAGGGGCGGGCAGCGCTGGAGGCCGCGCCACCCGTGGGAGGGGGAGAATGGGCGGGGGCCAGCAGAGAAGAGACGAAAGACGACACAGGTGGTGGGGGACGCACGGCAGGTGAACGCGCAGATGGCGCAGGCGGAGGGGGAGGGGGAGCGGGGGGCGCGGGCCCCGGGCTTGCGCTTGAGAGGCGGCGGTCAGGGCGCACCTGTCGGCCACGGGCTGGCGGGCACGAGGGGCGCCGGCCCGTGAATGGGGCCCTGGAGGCACAAACGACGGCGGGGCGAGAGGGCGCAACGGCAGGGCCGTCGGCGGGGGTCTCTGAAGTGTCAAGCTCTGGGTGGTCGTGCGGAGCCGGAAATGCGTCCGCGCGGGAAACGGCGCCGATGGGCGCATGCGGCCGGCTGTGCACCCGCCCTGGTCCGTGGACGGCTTCATCCGGCGTGGAGTCGGGGGAACGGGCATGGAGGGAAGCAAAACGATGATCAGCTCCGATGCTTCCCACAGGAGTGGGGAACCAAGCCGAAGAAAGAGTGTCCGACGCAGCTGGTCGGCCCCGGGTGGCGGGCGGTGAGGAGGAGGGCAGAGCACCGACAGGCCCAGAGGAGGAAAGGGGCCGCGCAGCAACAGAGATCAGGCGACACATAGGGGCTCTGGAGAGGCGTCCTTTCCTCATGAAGATTGCCGCGCTCGCGCGCCTGCAATTGTGCGACATCGAGCGACACCCCGCGAACTGGTCCCTGTCGTAGCCTTCAATGAAGGCCTCAAGATATCATGTCTCGACGAGGTTGGGGCCAAACGGATGGGCTTGTCCCGCCTGGCGGCACGGCCGAGAAAGTCTCTCCACAGACAGGGCTGCCCCAGGCGGGCACGGATGTCGGCAACGCGTCTGGCAGGGTGAAGCGGAGGGGTGGCAGTTCAGCAACGTAGACCTCAGGGAGTCCAAACACAGAAACGTGGGTTGCTGAAAGCACATTGAAGCCGTGGGCGCGCCCAAGAAAGGATCGCAGGCGATGGACCGGGCGATGAGGACTGCCCCCCGGAGCTTGGCCCGCCGATTGCCGAGCTGGACGAAACCGCGCGTAGCCAGGACCAGGTGCTGGTGAGAGAGTTGCTCGACGGGGGCATCCGCGGAGTGCTCGACTGGGTCGGACGGGGGGGCAGGGGGGGGCCAGGGGCGCAGCCGTAGAGGTGACCGCATCCGCATCTGAGGCGCTGGCCTCGTACGCGCGGGGGTTCAGTCGAGCTGGGGAAAACGGGACCTAGGGCGGTCCTGCAGCGCCTTCGCGGGTTCGCCCGCTGGTAGACAGGGGGCCCTGCCCCCTAACGGCTCTCGAACTGGAGCGCCGAGGACTCTGTCGGCTGGGACAGGCGCCAGCGCGAAGGGCGAGGGAAACGATGGACGGGGAGGGGGCAGGCAAGTCGCCCCCGAGCGCGAGGAACCGATCAACGAAAAAGATGAGCATCCACGCGGGCGCAAGGGGGACGTCGGCAGCAGGGAGAAGTGCGCCGCGCGGGGGAGAGAGCCGTGGAGGTCGCGCATGAGAAGCCGCCACATGTGGCGATACGAGCCAGGAGCGCCGCGCCGCGCGATCGCAGCCCCAGGGGTTGCGAGCCCTGACCGTCGCGCGAACCAGCTTGCGGAGGTCGTCCTCGGGCATCTCGCCATAATAAGTCGGTGCCAACGAGGGGCCACGGGGGCCGGTGGGGGGAGCACCCGCAGCAAGGGGGTCACGCACCCAGGATGTGGTCAGGCGGCGGGCATGCAGCGGGGGGCACCCCCCAGGACGATCCACGCCTCAAAGATGCAGCGCGGGGCCACGTTCAAGGGAGCGTCTTCCGAGGGAGGGCCAGGCCTAGGGCATGCTGCCACTGCAACTGACAGCAGGACGCGGGGCGCGGCGGCATCGAGCACGGCGACGGCTGCTCGGAGGTCGAGCAGCTCGAGGATGCGAGACTCGCGCGGACGCCGTTGGGTGGCGGCAGAGACCGCAGGGAGCCGTGGCGGCGAGGCAGCAGTGGGCCCGGGAGCAAGGGGGTCAGCGGCGACCGAGGGGCGGCGGGCCAGGGCGACACTGGTGCGCGCGTGCATCGTGACCGTGCCTGGGGCGGCAGCCTCAGCGCCAAGGTTGGGCCCGTCCTAGGCTGGAGCGGTCGCTGGACTTGAGTCGGGCGCGTCTCCCTACAGGGGGATCTTGGGCGAAAAATGCAAAATACTCAAAAAATATCCCAGTGCGACCCTACCTGGGAGTTGGAGCATATAGGAAAGCAACACCTACATCTACACCGACAGCTACATCAACATATACACCTGCATCTACATCTACAGCAACATCAACAGCGAGACTCACATCTACACCTACATCTGCACCTACATCTACACCTACATCTCCATCTACATCTACACCTACACCTACATCTACATCTACATCAACACTTTCGCAGTGGTTGTGTTGTTGCTTTGCATTGCCTTGCCTTTGCTTTTGCTTTTGCTTTTGCTGTTGCTTTTGCTTTGAATTTGCTTTTGCTGTTGCTTGAATTTGTGTTTGTTTTGCCTGCGCACAGACACACACGCACACACTCGCATGTGTTTCATTCGCTCACCGGGTGTGTTTGAGAATGCTCCGTATCTGGTCTAATACCGCACGACTTGGCCATCTTGGGCGCCTCTTGGGCCGTCTTGGGACTTTTTGGGACGTTTTTGGGGGCCTCTTGGGAGCCTCTTGGGCCGTCTTGAGGCGGTCTTGCTATGCTCTGCTATGCTATGCTATGCTATGCTGCGCTGTGCTATGTTGTGCTGTGCTGTGCTGCGCTATGCTATGGTATGCTATGCTATGCTATGCTATGCTGCGCTATGCCATGCTATGCTGGGCTATGCTATGACATGCTGTGCTGCGCTATTATATGCTACGCTATGCTATGCTCTGGTGTGCTCTGCTATGCTAAAGCTCAGTGAAGCTAAGATGAAGGTAAGCTAAGCTAAGATAAACCTGAGCTAAGATGAAGCTAAGCTAAGCTAAAATGAAATAAGCTAAGCTAAGATGAGATAAGCAACGCTAAGCTAAGGGGACGTAACTGGGGGAACCGCGGGGCGGATGCCCGGGGAACCGCCCGGGGCGGGTTCCACTGCCCGGCCCCTTTAAGCTAGACGGTTAGAACCCTTCTAGGCAAAGCCTAGGTAGGGAAATACCCCCCAAATGGGCACAAAAATCGAAAAAT